AATGGTAATGAAACCTGAATTAATCCATGATGTGTTTCTAAATCAGATTAATTGTTGCGTCAAATAAAAATATTAGCTTTTATGATATTTCCGAAATAATTTACGGAATAAATTCATTGTGAAGAGAAATGCCTATTAACTCATGTCAGTTCACTCATTGACAAAGCATCAAAAAACGGCTGTTGAGTGCAATTATGTAGACCCGGTATTTTTTGATAGAAGCATAATCATTCTTTTAATAAAGCACGGTGATGATATACATGATAAAAAACGCTGTTCACAAGCAGGGTAAACTGCAAAAAACTAAACGAACTTATATTTCTGTGAAGTTGCCAGAGCCATAAAAATGTTCTAATATTGATTTTTGCAAAATGGCATGTATTTTAATGGCCCAATAATTGGCAGTGATCTTGATAGTGATAACGAGTGCACCGTTGACGCAGTTGTTGCACCAGCAAGGTATCACATTATCGTACAGCAGTGCAAATATCACAGAACCAATTTGGACAAATTGCTGAAAAATTGGATCGGAGATATTCCAACTAAAGTAAAGATACTTTTTGTTAAAATATATAAAATAATAAATATAATTTATTATGGAAATCTAAAGAAATTAATACAATCTATAAATCAAGGAACTGCAAGAATATGTGGATAATAGTTGAATAACAAAGTTGCAACTATTCTTGTTTAAATCTTCGCAAACACAGAATTCAAGCCGTCTACAAGTTTTTCTAGGTAAATTTACCAGGAGACAGCCGCGAGCGTTTTGCAATTAGTACGTTAATTAATTAAACGTTCGATAGCTTCTTTTCTATTTAATTTATTTTTTACTGCCTTTTGGATTGTACCTCGCTGTAACTTATTGTTAAAATATATGCTAAGAAATAAAATTTATGGAAATCTAAAGAAATTAATATTAAAAATCTACGCGGCCAAAAGCCTAATAAAAGCTAATTTAATACAATTGATATAAAACAGTACGTGTGAAGCTATAATTAGTGAGCCAAATGAAAGACTGCATCTTATTCCATTTACTTTTTAAATTGGCTTCTGCCTGGTTTCATTCCATTTTAATGTTAAAATCATTTCTTAAGACTTGGATAGTAGCGACGTTTACGTGGTGGAATTCCATAATCACTAAGTTTAAAAATAAACAAAACTATATAAATTTATTAATCTGCTGCATGATAAAACATGTTTTATTGTAAAAATGTGTAAACTTCAAAAATTAACTTATTTTATTATATATTCTATCGAATACAACATTTAAATCCAACAAATATGACAAAAGTTATGAAAATGTAATAACGAATCAGTTACATATTTTCAGCATTGTTCTTTCAATACGTCGGAAAATCAATGTTTGGGACAATTTTACAATAACCGGTTGTGTGCTTGACATTTAATAAACTGAATACAAACGAATCAANAAATTATAACACATGCCGGATTTACAAATGGTAATGAAACATGAATTAATACACGATGTGTTTCTAAATTAGATTAATTGTTGCTTCAAAGAAAAATATTATCTTTTATTATATTTCCGATATAATTTACGGAATAAATTTGTGGTAATGCGTTTATTATTGAGTACAAGCTTCTACATCAAATGAACTCGAAGAACTGACTGACGTGACTGAGGAACTTACTCGCGTCCCTTTATATCTGAATTTTCACCATCTTAGTCCAGGTTTATTCCGTTAGCTTGGTTGTGAATAGGGCGATACGTCGTCTAGTCGGTCCCGGCAATTATTACCAGTATACCAACAAATATGTCAAAAAGAGCCTTGAGTTGAGCAATTCGTACCCAGACTAAGGTTACTCTGTTTCGTTCAGACTAAACAAATGTAGACTAAACATCCTTGCCGGACCGAGCATACCAACACAAAGCCCAGACGATGAAATGTACCCCACAAATTCATTGTGAAGAGAAATGCCTATTAGCTCATGTCAGTTCACTCATTGACAAAGCATCAAAGAACGGCTGTTGAGTGCATTTATGTATACCCGGCATTTTTTGATAGAAGCATAATCATTCTTTTGATAAAGCACCGTGATCATATACATGATAAAAAACGCTGTTCACAAGCGGGCTAAACTGCAAAAAACTAAACGAACAAATATTTCTGTGAAATTGCCAGAGCCATAAAAATGTTCTAATATTGATTTTTGCAAAATGGCATGTATTTTAATAGCCCAATAATTGGCAGTGATCTTGATAGTAATAACGAGTGCACCTTTGACGCACTTGTAGCACCAGCAAGGTATCACATTATAGTACAGCAGTGCAAATATCACAGAATCAATTTGGACAAATTGTTGGAAAATTGGATCGGAGATATTCAAACTAAAGGAAAGATACTTTTTGTTAAAATATATAAAATAATAAATAAAATCTAAAGAAATTAATACAATCTATAAATCAAGGAACTGCAAGAAAATGTGGATAATGGTAGGATAACAAAGTTGCAACTATTCTTTAAATAATCTTCGTAAACAATAGAATTCAAGTCAGTTCATGTTTTTTTCAGGTGGAATTTACAAGGAGACACAGCCGCGAGCGTTTTGCAATTAGTGAGTACGTTAATTAATTAAACAAACGCCCAATAGCTTTTTATTTAATTTATTTTTTACTGCCTTTGGATTGTACTCTAACTTATTGTTAAAATATATAAAATAATAAATAAAATTCATTATGGAAATCTAAAGAAATTAATATTAAAATCTATGCGGCCAAAGTCGCCGACAAAAGCTAATTTAATACAATTGATATAAAACAGTACGTGTGAAGCTATAATTAGTGAGCCAAATGAAAGACTGCATCTTATTCCATTTACTTTTTTAATTGGCTCATTTTGATGTTACAATCATTTCTTAAGACTTGGATAGTAGCGGCGTTCACGTGGTGGATTTCCGTAATCACTAAATTTAAGAATAAAAGATTCTTTTTCTTCTTCTTTGTATTAATTATACAAATTTTGATAATAAAACTATATAAATATATTTATCTGCTGTATGATAGAACATGTTTTATTGTGAAAATTTGTAAACTTCAAAAATTAACTTATTTTATTCTATATTATATAGAATACAACATTTAAATCTAACAAATATGTCAAAAGTTATGAAAATGTAATAACGAATCAGTTGCATATTTTCAGCATTGTTCTTTCAATACGCCTGAAAATCAATGTTTAGGACAATTTTACAATATCCGGTTGTGTGCTTGACATTTAGTAAACTGAATACAAACGAATCAATAACATGAATTGGCTTTCTTATACAATATCGGTTGCAAACCGATTCAAATTCATAAGCTTATAATTAAATGACAAACACATAAGTACGGGTATATAGGTACTGGCAAACTAACATACAAAAAATGATGAACCTTTTGTCAAGTGCCAATTTTCAGTAAAATTATAAATGGATTTTTAACTGAGAGAGATACAATTGTCGATTCATCAATAAACCAGTGCAAATCGACTAAAACTCTCGCAGTCAAAAATCCATTCTTCAGTAATATTGTCGAGTCAAACACTACTAATCGAGTTACCTTTCTATAGCATGAGTACAAGGGCTAGATAAAAGCAACAAGTGGCAAGGCGTGCAGGTTGTTGGGTTGGCAATCGCACTGCATTCTATGTTCTTGCTTGTCGAGCAGCACGCGTTTCTGCAACGTGATAATTCGCTAAACACTATCTGAAATTGAAATTGATGAGGATTGCTCTTTTGGATATACTGGCATATATACTTTATGTATCATATTAGATGATATTTTTGTGAAGGCAAATATCCAATCATAATCTAATCAATTCTAAAGCTTCTAAAACCAAAAGCATTATTTGAATGCACTGATCATTTACCCTTTTTATAATTTATTATTATTTATTATATAATCCAATAATCCCATGATTTCTTATGTTTTCCATAGAGACAGTATTACAAACCGCAGTAGCCCTTAAATTGAAACCAATTTCATATATCTGTACTTACATCCTTCCTCTCAAAACCACGATTATCTGTACTATTGCTTGGACAGTATGGTCCTTTTTACTTTTACAAATTTATGATTCTACTAGCTTTAACCCGCAGCTTCGCTTTCGCGGGTAATATCTAAAATAATAATGAAGTTGCTTTGCGTACGCGTCTGTAGTCTACCAAGTAACAATGAAGTAGAATGGCGGGAAGTTTAAAATGGCTGAAAGTATAGTCTATGGAAGTATGGTGTACAGTCTCCTTCAATTCTTAATCAATTGGATTTGATGTTGACGTAGCTATCGGTAATACAGTGTGATAATACAGTGTGATGGGTACTATAGTACCAGGTTTGAGCTTCATTGCTTTGGAATGCTTTAGATGGCGTTAAAGTAGTCAAATTGCCGGATGCAGAGAGGTATTATTGTGGCTAAACAATTTCTTTATTTTATTTTAAAAAATAATTGTACATTAAATAAAAAGTGGCCTATAACCATTCGAGGACCACTAAAATATGTGTACAAGTACACCATAATGATCGGTTCAGTAGTTTTTGCGTGAAAGTGTAACAAACATCAGGACTTTCGCATTTATAATATTAGTAGGGATAACAACAAACACTACACACACCGATCTCACACATTCTTAAAGTTTGAAGCGTTTATAGTATAGTATAGTGTATCGGTTATACACAAAATCTGCATGCGCCCGACAAGTATTTTTTCATAATCAATTCAAACAGATCAAATCAATGAGAACAAGATTTTGTTTATTTTGTCGGAACTCTAGAATTGAAATGATTTCTTATTGTTATTTTGTTCAGAGTCCCTGAACAAATGATATCGTATAATTTAACATTAAAAGTTAATAATAGACGGCGCGAGCGCAGTTGCTAGGACCTAATGGACAGTTGCAGCGGTGCAGCGATAGAGACTACTCAGTTGAACTTCGGTATTCAAACGGAACACTCTTCGGTCGAGTAGTAGTCAACAACACGAATGTGAAAGGTGCCAAAATAAATAAGCATCATATAATTATAATAAAGCGTGCATTTTGCTACTCTTTTTGGTCTCGCACACATCAAAGATACAAAAAGTAAGTAGAAACTTAAATTACGTTTTTGATCATGTGTAGTATTAACAAAAAAAAGCAATGATAGCTGTGTTAATTTCTGCTAAGCAGAAAAAACTGAAATCGAGTAATACTTATCATCCATTTTTTAAGTGTTATTGTTGCAATGTAATTTAAAATACCTACACGAACAATTGTAATTATCAATAAAGCATAATATTAGAAATGTGATTTATAAATCACATTTATGGTTTTTATTTACGCTTAAAATGCCATGAAGAACTTACACACTGAAAACAATAATTTCTAAAAAGAACGCATGTTATTCATCGGGGCAACAATAACCGTTTATATTTGAACGCAACTTTTTTTACCTCTTTAAATTTTAGTTTTAGTTAACCAATCAAGTTGATCAAGTGATCGAAGTAAGTAGTGATTGTTTAGCATAAAAAGCTCTATGCTTTTGTGGAGGAATTATTTCATGTTGAAAAACATTGTTTACGAAATATTTTTGCTGCCGACATATTGACACATATGTGTATAACATTTAATCAAAATTCAAAATCCATTCCTTGTCAACCATTTCCTCTTGGCGCGGTGATTGAATTGAAGCAATTAACAATATGTTTATAAAACCGTTGTTTTGTAGGCACTGTTTGTATGCTGAAATACAAATAAGGACCTTTGTTGTGAGCTTATCGTTAGAATTAGCTTGTAACATTTTTTTTTTTTTTTTACGGAGGATCAAAATAGTTTTATCAAACTATGTTTGTGATATACTATATACACAGAGGGTGTAAATATACTGTTAAAAGTGAAATTGCATTACTCCATAAAACAATATAATGGGTATATATTTGAAAACAACTTTTGCTGTGTAGTAGTTGGTATAGTCATGTGAAAAAGCTTGATGTTCGGTATTGTATGTGGCTAAACTCCTCTAAACAGCTGAACCGATTTTGATGAAATTTTGGTGTGTGTTTGGTGGGTTTGAGAACGGTTTGGATTCACAAATCGGTCTACTTGGAAATGTTTCAGTTCCAGTATTTTTCAAAAGTAAAAAAAACGCCTAAAATTAACAATTATCAAATAGGAAGTCATTTTGTGACAATAATTATAAAAATGAATTTGTCAATTTTGAAATAGAAATTGTGAGTTTGTGAGTAATTGTGAGTAATTGTTCAGTAATCTCGAAAATATTCAGGACAGCAAAGTCGGAACGAAGTTTGGCAGGGCAGCTAGTATATTATAATATTCCATTGATGTTTAGAACTGTTTCACAATATCTGGTTGTGTGCTTTACGTGCTGATTTAACACATGTAGATTTAACCATGACTATATTCTATTATGTTCCAGTTGTTTTAAAATGGGTTATATTGTTTGGTTAATGTTAACGGCTTTAATCTACCAATCATGGACAGAGCGGCAACTTAATTTTACGTAAATACACAAACTTTCATTTTTCTCTTAAGACAAATGGCTAAATTTGTAACAATTGAGTGATTGTTTTTAATCCTTTTGTTGTAGGAAAGATTTTCGTATAAAAAACATCAAATTTATCCGTCCACCACTACTTCATCGATTCAGTTCAAAACATCATAGCGATGCCATTAATAGCAGGTAAATACAAAGAATTTATTTAGGTATATGACGTTAGTCGATTCCAGTGAAGGCAGTCTAAGTATACATTCCAAGCTAGCTATTATATTGAATATAAGGTTTCCTGTTTTGACGACATGATGATAAAAATATCTTTAATTAAAGCAAATTACGAAACAACAATATACTGTAGGATTGTTGATACAAATAATAATAATATGGACTTTTGGCAGTTAAATGATAATAATTTAATGAATATAAAACGTGAATGACAGAAAAATCCCCAAAAATATTAAGATTACACAAAATAAGTCAGTTAAATTCTCAGACAACTCCAGCACACCCGACGTCCACAACTTCTAAATGATCGTCTGTCGTCTGTATAGCCCCAATGCCCTTGAAGTGTGCTCATTCGTCTGAAAGGCTCTCGAATATTAGCCGTTCAATCCTACATAATTCGGCCATCCTGGAGGTGTTCGCCCTCGAACATTGCTCGTCTTTGTCGTCTATCGGACACCACGGCTTAATGTACTCGGCACAGGTACTGGTCAGATTCG